TCTACGTTAGTTAGAACTAAGAATGTCATCTGTCTAACTAAAAAGTTAATTTAAAAATATTATAGATAATGACAAACCATTCGTTTGTCATTTTTCATGGACCTTTTGTTCAAGAATGTTTCAACTTTCCACAGACATATCAATCATGTTTAAGTTCCAGTACCGTCTTCCGTTTAGCATATTAATCTCATTTTTATACTTCATGTCAAGGTGAAACTTCTAAAAGTTTTAACAATACTGTAGCCATTAGCCATATATCAACGTCGAGCGAAGAGTCTGATTCGGACGCGGGCAAATTGGGATTAATATCGGTCTTAGTACGAAAGAATTCCCCCCACATTTTCTTTTACTGATTAGGTGGCAAGACAAATCGGTTCGGATAGTGCGAAAACACGGAATGTTTTCAACTTGCCTTTTGTTTCTGAAGGGTAGTTGGACCAGGGTTAGCGCTCAAATGATTTATAGGTACTAGAAATTACGCAGTCCGGAAACAAATACGGCCAATTAGTTGTCAGTCGTTCTGTAAACGAAGAGAAGTTATTGCGAAAATTAATTTCGGAACGGACAAAAGAAATATCGAGGTCACAGAGGAATAATTTGATCTTTTTTTACAAGAAAAATATTTGAATAATTCCACGCATATCTTATCAGTAATTAATCAGATAACATTGAAGCAGTTGCGGCTTGTACCTGGTTTACAGGGCGATGCTATCTCGGCCTATTCAATACTTTGGTTTATGTAGTCGGGTCGACAATACATTCATACTTTATTGGTCTGGCATACATATTGCGGTATCAGGCCTAAGATCGAAGCTTTAATTTGTTGTTTAAACCCTGCGATGTTGTTTCATTTTTCTTGTAATACTTTTGTACCTACTATAATCTAACTATAATAATTCTTAACAAACATCACGCCTTTTTATCCCCGAAGGGGTAGGCAGAGGTGCACACAGAAGTAACACCCATTTTTCACTATTTAGGTTATGAGTCCCATGTAATAGGGGTGAGCCTATTGACATATACCGGGCACATTACCAGACTCCGTGCTACTATTGAGATTTTTTTTTAAAACCCAGTAATACTTTGCCCGATCCGGGAATCGAACCCGAGACCCCTTGCTCGGCAGTCGCACTTGCTACCACTCGGCCAGCGAGGCAGTCTATGTAATAATAATTCTTCTCATTCAATTGTAATGATTTTGCATTAGACAAATATCACAGCTGGTGTTACATTTTTGCCACATCACCAAACTATCAAAATATGAATAGTTGACACGTCATGGAAGTAATGTATTAGAATTATCGCTGGTTTTTGGAGGCACGCGATCGGCCACCCCTTCGCTCCCGTCCTTGACCCGTACTTATTCGGAGCAATGACGTCAGCGAGTTTGGCCAAACCCTGTGCCACATAACAGAAATATTTGCAGAAGAAGCACTGCACACTAATTTAATCTTTACAATTTACATGACAATTAAATGTATTAATCGGATTATTATTTGAAGATACAAATGATATGATATGATGATAGAGAAATGATAGAAATGATTAATTTAGGATTGCAAATGAATAATTACATTTAGAAAATAACAAATTAAAGCATTGTATTTTTTTGTGGATATGCTACAAAACATTGAATGTATCTACAATGTACTATATGTCGTTTCATAGTGTTTTCATTCTTACGGAATCTAAAGAGATTAACTTTTGTTTCAAATCTTTTCTCACTGTTTCTTGTTTCCACATTGTCCTCCATTCTCATGGACTTTCTGCGTTCTTGGCTGTCATGTACTGAGAACATATCACTGCGTCTGTACCAAACTGCAGTGTTAAATGTGAATTTATTGTAATTATGGCTGCAGCGTTTATCTGATGTTTGCTAGAACGAACCGACCAGCTCGACCTTAATGCAGGAGCTAACATCTGTCTAGAAGACGTTTTAATTTCATTAGTACAACCGAGAGTTGAACTAATGTAATATTTTTACCTAGATTTGGTTACAGAATAGGTTTGTATAAAAAGTAGATGAAATGGTAATGGTATGTAGGTACTCGTAAAGCGTTTTTTTATATGTTATTATGTGTATACTTTTTACGCCAATCGGTTTATATTGTCTGTCCAATATGGATCTGATTTAGTGCCGATCAGAAAACGGCTAAATGTACGAATGATGTCCCTACATTCTTTCTATGTTAATTCACTACTAAAGGGGATTTACTTGTTAGTTATTAATATACAGTAATCATTATAATAAATGTCCATCAGCTCCCAATGACCAGTTAGATCCAAATCACTCACATTTCGGAACGTTGTTACCGCTATCGTTTCTTTGTACCTTATAACCGATGATCGATGGGCCTCACATCTCTGCCCTTAGGCGTTTTTGCTGATCCTAATCGCTACCTACGCCCCGGATCCCGACTATCTAGAAAATAACAAATAGCATAAAAATTTCAAATAGCATAAAAATTTAAGTGAAATGCCGTTCCATTTACTCCATATTTTCAAACCAGATTATCTGCAGATGAGGTGCCAAGATTTCAAGAAGTTTTTTGTTCCGCTTTCAGAGACACTTAATTACTTTCTTTGGTCGTATTTTTATTCGAGTTTAAATATTTGTAATTGTCATCCATTTTTCAAAATAAACGTTCATTAACTAAAAATCGCGGGTTAATCACGTGAATATACTGAGAAAAGCTCTACTAGTTTCGAACCACAGAGGGGTTCTTCCTCATGAACAGCGTGCGCGGTCGCGGCGTTGTCGGGCAGCCAAAGTCAAAGTCAAAGTCAAAGCATTTATTTCAATTAAACCATAGTTTGGTACTTTTGAAACGTCAACAAATACAAAATAAATAATAGTCTGTCAGTCAGTCCGTCAGTGAAACTAGGTGAAGCTAGGTGCTCATTCCAAAAAGTAGATTCGAATGGAGAAGAACGAGCAAGAAACTCCATTCGTTAATCTTTTTTGCTTGACGCATTATACTAAAACTTATTAAAATTAAAAAAAAAATCTTAAAGTCTAACATGGTGCTCACATATTATTATGATTACAGCCTACTTTATAGCGATTTTTAGTTAATTTAGTATCTCACGATGCTTATTATATAAACATTCATGTTCTATATAATAATTATATCCACCGAATTTTGGTTCTGGAATTTATGTTATGTTGTCTATTGCTTCACAACCGATCCTTTTCAAAGGAAGTTCAAAATATCATAACAAAAGCTCTTTGAAAGTGAACAGAATAAGACGTAGTTTCCGCGTTTATTGTTTCAACAGTTAATTGGTACTGTTAGCGTAGATTATGAGGTAGCTAACAACTCATCTAATGAGTTTGTTTTGTCAGTAAACAGTTAGCTGGAACTTTGATTCCACTACTCCATGTAAGGAAACCCGGGTACTTTTATTTGTGTACTTGCTTAACAGATTTGAACAACTTTGTATGGTTAATTAGCGATTGTTGTGTGTGAATTTTTAGTTTCTAAACGATGAAGGTTATAGGTGTTTGAAAATGCAAGTTCATGATTACTTATTTATATTTCTATAGTCTTTAGCACCGTAGTTCAGATGATTTCAAATGAGCAGTCATTTGAGTTGAGAAAAGCGTAATTCGAGAGATCATACACGGAGACGGATACACATACGAATGTATACAAACACGTCAGAGTAGCGGAATGTGAACGTAGGTTGACAATACCAGCATGATGTTCTAGACTAACACTGGAATACGATGACAATAATTATCATAATCACTCATTATTGCTGACATAATGGTCTACAATAACTAATTATGGTCACAGATATTAAACAATTGAACAGTTCCAATTGTTAAGTAACTTAGAGAACGTAAATACGAGTATAATATTGCCTCGATAGTGGCAATCTTCGTCTTAAAGATATTACTACGAGAACGCCAGCAGTAATCGGCCACATTAATTCTGAACCCTCTTTGCACGATAAAAAGATGTAAGAACCATACGATATAGCGAGCTGAATACATATCTGACTGGATATAGATGTTATTTTGTAGGAAAAATTATTTATGTTTCGAGTGCCGAAAGACGTGAGTAGAATTTCAAGTACTGCTTTATAGATTTACCATCGATTCGAAGATACTCTTTGAGAGCAAAGAGGAATTCTAAACACGATAGGGAAGCTAGAAATGTTAGGGATTGTGGAATTACAATTGGTACTGCAAAGCAAGATTTTGAAGAAAATAGTAATAGTTTTATTGACATCATACTGTAGGTTGAAATCTAAAGATAATACGGATTCAATGCTTTTTGTTAAGAAGAGAAAATATTTAAAAGGAAAATACTTATAAACTTTAAGAAACAGAGCGTAAATAAAAAATGTACCTTTGAATTTTTGTTACCCTTTACACAAAGGTTTCTTTTTCAAAATGGCGTTGAGATATGTAATTCGACGTAGAATTGCTCAGTTCCGAACGGAGGGCTAAAGGGTACAGAAATGATTTCCTTTTGTTAACGGCTACAAAGATTAAGTTCTTTTTATTAAAATCATTTCCAGTAGAATGGTTCAGCTTTATTTTCTGAATGAAAGTAGGTTCAAGGGAGCGACTAATAAAAGGGTAGGCATACATAATACAATTGCGGAATCCCAATGTTGGAATAGGTCCAAAAATTGTTACAAGAACTTTAAACGTCTAGAAATACCCGGTTTAAGTACAGTGATTCTCCGGGCTGAGCCGTGACGCTCTCGAGTCGGATACGTAAGACTACAATTTGTTTTATTCATGCTTTTAATAAAATTAAGTTAAATTCTTTATAGTGTTTGAGAATAGAAATGGAATGAATACATTCTTAATTGAATAACCAAAAACCTAAACCTTCAATATTTCATACGCCATACAAAGAATTCAGACGAAAAGATAATTGATTGGTCAAACGTAAGCAGTATTTACAAATAATCTGTAAACACAGCAATGAACACACGGCCTAGTAGAACACATTACGTAACAGCATTAACATTTCACTCACCGGACTTGCTAACTCTGTACCGCAGACCGCGTCCGCCCTTGGGATGGCAGCGGTTATAGGTTCCGAACTCCCCGTAATTGTTGTTCACCCGGCTGTAGTCCGCCAAATGTCGGTTGCCGTCTAGGTGGTTTGGCAGGGACCGATTCCAGCCCATAACATCGCCCACCACAGATCCGCACACTGACGATTCTGTTTGAGACTTAGTGTCGCCATTGCAGAGGTCGCCGCTGGAGCGAGCTCGCCGCCCTTTCAGTCCTTTGGCGGAGTGCTGGCTGATGTTCGAGCCCATAGCGTGGCGGGACCTCACGGGGGCCCCGCCGGCCGCATCTCGCCAATCTTCTTTCTCAACGCTATTCTTTCTGCAGTTGTTCTCACCTGCAAAGAAAAAAAAACCATAATTATTAAACAACATCAAATTTAAACGATGAAAATATTGTTAGAGAAAGCAATTTTATTCAAAGATCTAAACATTTTCCATCGCGGAAAACACACAAAGAATTACTATTTCGGAAGTATTTTTTCCACGGATAGGTTTTAATTTATTTACTCAATGCGGGTGAAAATATGGCACGGCTAGGCGGGATTCAAAGAAATATAGAAAAATCTAGACCAATCTAACTGAAGCAGTATTTTCAGTTCGGGAAAATGTTTTTGTCGCTGATTTATCTCACCCATTGAGAGGAAGCAAAATCTTTTCGGTCCAACCTCAACGCGAAAACACAACTGTTTGTTGAATATTCATTTAATTCGTACACTTATTTTCGGAAACCTTTTGAACTACACCTTCACAAGAACGTTGTCATACACATATTTTACACAGTCGAAATAATATTATTCATGTTATTAATTGCCTTCACCGTCTATTTTATTACATCAAACAGATGGAAATACTTTTAGTTTAAATATAATTTCTATCGCCTTCTAGGTATACGACTATGTAGGTAGTATGTTTAAAACGTACCTGAAGCTGGTACAAACACATACTTCAATTAAATTTTGTAGCAAAACTGAGAGCGAATTTTGGGAACACGTCGGGAGTTTTAACAGTTGCTTGGAGTCGCGAAATTTCTCGCTAACTAATTATTCAAATTCACGGCAACGACGCATTTATTTGTCGATATCTGCAACATTTATCAACCGAATAATTCGATAACAGAAAGTGACATTAAAGGGTATTATGAAGATATTAGAAGTGTTCGCAGAATTTGTGAATTTGTTAATAGGTAGGCAAACTCAGTATTTCCATATTTTTTATACACAAGTACTGATCTATTTGTTTCTTTCTCAGATAAAATTGAACCAAACTGTAGTTAGATTATTCATTGTTCGATTTTCTGTTTTAAACTTGTAGTTGGCAAAATTAGTAATTGTATTCTATTTTTTTTGCGGAACGGAAGATGTTGCAAGTGTTGCAATATCTAGGAAACAATTACGCCTTGAATTTGCAAATTTAGATAAGCAATGCACGGAATATAATTAAACACGTTTCCTGTTATGTATATACTTGTTAATAGCAGAAAGTCAATAATATTGGTTCCACTAATTTAAAAAATATAGTCGATTCTTAAACAAGATATATTTTTGTATTATGATATAGCGATGAAGAATAATATTACGTAGTCCTGTGTTATGGTCAGTTGTTAGTGATTCAGTTCCATAATAAGAGTTCACATATTCATAATGGAAATCATGCATCATGCATGTATGCATATAATATCGGCATATCATTATACTGATGGGTGAGTTTACATTTCTCAGTTCTCACGCCGATTTTAATTACCGCATTGCTACCACATTACGAGTGCATTATTAATTACGCGTATCGTATTTTTTCTTAATCAGAGATAGCACTAATTGCTAGGTATAAACATATAGGCACATTTTATTGTATAGTTAATAGACTTTATCAAAGTTATTTCAGTATTAAAAATAATTATTTATAATGGTACGGTTTTCAAAGGCCTTTGCAAAATCATTATATCATTGTCATTCACAACGGTAGATTGAATAATTTTAATCTTAATAAAATCATAAGATTGTTCAAGAAACTCGGCGCGCGAAAGGGTTGAGTTTCGTCCCGAACTAAATTTCCAAAATTCATTTCCTCGCGGCGGTCTGGTAATTTCCATAATTGCTGGAAATATTTCGCCAGTTCACCGAAAATATCGGGAATATTTAATGAGATGCGGTGGCCTGTGTCGTGCCTACTTCCGAAGATTTTATGAATCTTTCACCCGCTTGGCGCGAGTTCATTAAGAGCTGCCGCCACAAATGCCAGCGCCCATGTACACACTATGTGTTGCGTATAAAATATGAATAACGAAGCGGAACGATTCGTTCGAGCTTAGCCTTTGAACTAAATGCGCCGCTCTTGTATTTGTGGCTTTATACGCTTTGCTGGAACTACAAACATGGTCTGTAATATCAAGTACGTGTTCAATATGGCTTTATCTCTAGATTTCCAGAATATTTTGATAGTTGATGGTGGTGTTAATGATGATGAAATCGGAACAAATCGTTTCCGCTCTGTTTGGTATACGTTGGGTACGCTTTAATGTTTCGAAGTCGCTTAAAAGCTTAGTCTTTAGTATACGGATTTAGGCGTCATTACCTCGTTAGTTCTGTCACTAAAAGGGTAAGCGGGAAGGTTTTAGAGTTCGTAAGCAGCTTTCTGTCAGCACCAACACGATGGTAGTTCTAGACACGGGACGCATTACACGCACATTCGTCACATCGGATTTATCCGTGGAAGAAACCGTAAGAACAGTAATGTTATATTTTCTGTTGCTGGATATAATTGAGATGGTATTGTATACAGTTTCGCCTATAATGGATAAATATAGTAGAAATGTTTTAGACTGCTTCGATGGCCGAGTGGTCACTACTCACAAGTGTGACTACCGGGCAAGGAGTCTCGGGTTCGATTCCCGGGTCGGACAAAGTTTTACTGGGTTTTTTAAACATTCTCATTGTAGCACGGAGTCTGGAACTGTGCCCGTATATATATATATGGCAATAGGCTCACCATATATGGGACTACTACATAATATGGGACTCATTGTACAGTGTGCACCTCTGCCTACCCCTTCGAGGATAAAAGGCATTATGTTAAATGTTTTAGAGTGAAATCGTTTAACAATTTGTGAGCTATCCGACCGATTTTTCAGTAATCCTTCATATTCTCGCTAAGGCTACTTTACTGGTGAAATTTATAGTTATTCCTAGGTCAACCTTCTGGCTATAAACGTCAAGCAATTATAAAATATTTTTGAATGCCAAGACGATACTAAAATAGTATTCTTATAGGTCAATTCCTTGAATAGCTTTCCAAAATTAGGTTACCAACTGAAATATGACAACTCGGAAAATGACAAACTAGATATAATATCCGGCAGCGGACGTGGCTCAGCCTAGGCTGAACGGTAAGCCTAGATAAATGGCTGGGTCCAGCCGATATTTGGTACCTATTCATTTGATGCCAACTCATCAGTTATTTACTCTCACCAAACTTCCATTACGAATTTCAACGATATTATTTCATATTGAATGTCTATTTATTTCTCAATTTATATAACGAATATCGTGTAGGTATATACCTATCTATATTAGTCACATAATCACTATCACTGCATAGTATAAAACAAAGTCGCTATCCGCCGTCTGTCTGTCCCTATGTATGGTTAGATCTTTAAAACTAAGCAACGGATTTTGATGCGGTTACTGATTATTCGTCTGAGCTTTGTAGATAGGTACTACATAGTTACATGTTTTTTTTATTTCTTATCAGTTGCTATTTTCCTGAGTGTAGCCACATAACAAATGCGCTTGAAATACACTGTAAATACAGTTCATTAAGTAATTCAGATAGCAGTTAATACTGTTATTGTAATAGACATAAACATTAACAATTATTAACGACAGCCAATTGTGGTCATGGCTAAAATCAATAATAGTTTATAATAGTTACCAAACTACTAGGCAAAAAAGAAGCCACAAAACAAGAAAAGGTTCACTGTATAGTCTCACGTACTACATTAAACAATGTCAATATAATGCAACAAAAACACACACAATACGACTTCCGTTTCCAAGTCGATCTTCCTCTTGTTTGATGCTAAACAAATAGGAGAGACACACGGGACGCCATTGTTGCAACGAACAAAAACTTCCACCAATTTACCTGTAGATATACAAACATGGAGTACCTATATAAAGTGGGTCCCATTTTAACAGAACTTAACGTTCTATGAGCATTTCGTCATGTTAATTTTCTTACTATCACATTCAGAATTCCTTTTTTAAAACTCACCGTTGCATTTTTAAAAACTCAGATTGACGATTACGTTCATCATTATAGAAATCTCATTCTACTTATGCTTTTGTAACTGACCGACAAATTCTAGGAATATGCAACTTTATATCTCTCGTAACGAGTAACCGCATTCGCTAAAATGGAATCAAGAACGAACGAAACATAACCTCAAAGTACTACAAAAGGTAATTGCTTCCATAATTACTTTTATTGGTTGGAATTGGCGACTGAAACAAGTCAAGCATTCAAAGAACCACTGTTTATCTTGATTAATAGTCCGGTTAAAATATTTTATTTAAAGATACTGAGGTCTCGGGTCCCTGAACAGGGGACGTCAGTGATTGAGTAATGACGCGCGACAATGACCTTTTTGTCTCATGCAACAGTAACGTCCTTGCTATTGTTTAAACAATGGTTGTTTCGACTTTAGATGTATTTGTAACGGTATTGTGACTGATTGACCTGATTCGATACAAAAAACTGTTCCCAACCCACAAAGTCTTTGTAGGACTACTATGACAACTGAACGCATTTGTTTCAAAGATCAAAGATCGTTTTGAAATAAACGCCAGAAATTCAATTTGACTCACATTTAGAAATCAGTGTGATGTTAATTTGATCTATGTTTTTAATCTCTTGAAAGTAAAAGATTTGTTTATTAACACAGACAATGGGTAAAAGTGCAACAAAGTTCACACAATTACCAAAGGTTAATGTTTAGAACGATGTTGAAATAATTAAAAAGTTGAATTAAAAATACGTGGCTAATTAAGAGTTTTTGGAGCTTTTACTTTTTAAAGATACGGTTTGAGGCGGTTTGTTATGAGCGCGGGGTAGCAAGCGGTACCTACTTTTGGGGATTTATTTAACTGTCTCTCTGGAAGTAGGGCCCGGATTTGGGCCGCAATGAAATCTCGCGCAGACAATTAAGAATCGTCACAATGAGACTGCGACGCTCAGCCTTCGTCTTTATGTTTCACTAACGTTACCGTTGTTTCTAGCTGTTGTTAAGACTGTTTAGATCTGCTACGGAATTGTTATGAATAGAATACAAATCTGTATTGTTATGAAGGTTAAGATTGCTTAAATTCCGACAATTGATACGGATTTTTGTTACAAATTGTATTAATTTGAATGTCATGTTTGTAAATATTTTTTTTAGCGTAATTTTAGATATTTTACTTTTATATCATCAATCACGTTTTCTATGAAACAGTAAAATCCAGAAACTTCAAGATCATTTACGATGTAACATAAAAATCTTAGAAGGTAATGATATTAGATACTTACGATACGGTATAGAGGTACTCAGCAAGATGACCTATCTTCGTCAAGAATCTAATTCAACTTCACTCGTTCAATA